AAGTCCCATCGTCATTTCTCGCCAAACGAAGCCGGTTGACCCGCCACAAGTGGCTGAGCGGCTGCCGCCGCCTCCAAGATACCCTCCCGCCGAATTGCTGGCGCTGTCTTGCGACGGGCGAGCTTTACGTGCCGACAACTCGGATACAAGCTGCTGTAAGCAAGTCAGCATGGATGAACAGCGACTGGAGAGCAAGAACGCGCTTCTGCGGCCAGTTCTTTCGCGGCGACTCCTAGCCCCCTTCCCCGTGCCAAACGACGCCACTTAACCGGCAAGAATTGGCCGAATCGACCCAGCGCGAACAACCCCATCTCCCGCTGAACAAGCGCCAGCTCCACATTGACATGCGCCAAATTCGATAAATCTGCTGTAAACAAGTTCAAATTCGATCGGTGGTGTTAAAGCAGCAAGAACGCGCACCTGCACGGCCCCCTCAACAATGGCGGTTGCCCTCTCGCCACCCAAATTCGGTCTCCGTTTTACACAGGCTGTGTAACAACGTGGGAGTCAGGCCTCGGGACATCGCCTCCCCACATTGAGACCATTGGCGAGGGCTGCAGCTCCACACCGGTTTGCAAGCGCGCCGGATGCTGATAGCGGCTGCAGCAGGGTCTTACTGGCTGCGCGCGCCGAGCCAAAAGCTATGGCCCAGCAACGCTAACCCCTACCTTAATAAGCTGATTCAGATGGAGATGCGTTAGCCTAGGACTCTGTCTAACGCGCGGCTGTCCGCCCGGGCGACCCCGACTCCGCTCGCGACGCACAAGCGTGCAGCCATAACCGTGGCCCGACTGCCGCATGGGCCCCTGTCGCGACTCGCAAGTGAGGGGGCAGCGGGTGGGCTGGTAACATGCAGCGCCGGCGCCTCTGTCGCGACTCGCAAGTGAAGGGGCGCTGGCGCTGGCTGTGAATGAGAGGCTCGCGACTCGCAAGTGGCTCTGGGCCACAGCCAGTCCTCCTCCCTCCTTTTTAACAGGCACGCGCTGGCACCTTGTGATCCAGAGCCATCTGAATCACGATCGCAATCTGAGACAGCCCCTGGGCCCTTATCAACGCTCCAAACAATTCAGATCGACCACTCACCTTTCCACACGCCATGATGCTCTCTCCAGCGTTCCAACGCCTTCAGGCAATCTTGCGCATCGTATGCGCCATGGTCATACGGGTACCCGGACCCACTATCTGGGTGCGTGTATTCGCTCTTTCCTTCAGCTGTCAATGGCTAATAGCCTATGAAGGTCAAGAACATCGACTCCTTCGAGGAGGTCGAAGTTGCTTTGTTCTTGCAGGAGGGGAACATTGACGCCAATCCAGAGCATGCGGCGGGCGATTCGGATTCGGATGCGCCACTGCTCTGTCCGGGGGACCCTATCCCTCCCAACGCCACCTTCATCACCCCACTCCCCATGTCGGCCGCCTTTACAGATACCGCGTTCACCCGGCCCGTGCCAGCAGATGAGACCAATCGAGCCCGGCGCAGCCGTGAGCGTTCAGCCGCCTACGTAGACCGAATGTCGTGGCTGACATTGCGTTATCGTGCACCATCGACCTTTGCGCAGCGTCTCGCTGCTGCCCGCAACTTCACGGGCGCAAGAAGTCGGGGGAGGTGCCAAAGCAGATTACACACGTTCCTGTTGGCAGTGGGTGCGTGAACACCCATTCTTCACCGCTCTTTGCTCCCAACATTTATTGCCGACAGCATCCCCGTCTCCATATACACACACGACGGCGTCAAGTGCGTGCATCGTGGGGCCCTACCCCGCAACACGCACATCAACGACGCTCTTGTCAAAGCAGCGCAGCTATCCTCGACGCTCAAATCTGGGCCCAACTTTCGAGGTAGTTATAAGGCCGACACCTTCTCTCTGCACCGAGGAAGCAGCAAGGTGCGTCAGTACCAACAATAGGGTACTGCTTGTTAACCACCATTTCAGCATCCGCGCATGAGCAAGACCGTGGTCGACAATCGAGAACTTTTTAACGAGATATGCACCGTTCTTGAGCCTGTCCGTATAGCCGCCTATGGTGAGTGCCAGCAAGCTATTCCATCTGCAGGACATTCGCTCATGCATATCACCCTGAACCTATAGATGTCTTCAAGACTGAATTCCCTGCATTGGCGGCGAAATATGCAACCGCGATGAAGATCATCGCCGACAAACACCCTGATTGCAAGGCAGCATTCTTCCCATGGGCTGCGTTTTCCATCAACCAGCCAAGCGAGACGCAAGGCGTTGTTACCATCCCTCACATCGATGGGGAGAACTACGCAGTTGGTCTCTGCGTCGTGTATCCATTTGGCCCATTCGACCACACAGAAGACTGCTTCCTTGTCGTCCTCGAACTCGGATTTGTGTTCCAAATCGCGCCGGGAATGCCCATCCTTTTCCCCTCCGCGCTCTACACCCATTACAACACCCAGTTGAGGTCCAAAGGCGTGCGAGGGTCGTTCGTTGCCTGGACTGGGGGCCAACTCTTCCAATATGTCGCACTGGGATGCCGGGCTGTTATTGATCTGGGTGATGATGAGAAGGCCGTGTATAGGGAGTGGATCAAGAATGTCATGGAGGAGGAGGCGAAGTGCCTCCCAAGGCTCGTCGAGCGTGAGGCGGAATCGTATTGATAGACAGACTGGACTGTAACATCTGAATCTATCCAGACTTTTCAATCTGACATGTACACTCATTCGAGAATCGTATCGACCGCACGTGTTTGGAGTCTGAATCGTTCACAGTTCAGACTGTATTTGAAGCCTATATAACATACAACTTGAAGCGTCATTGGTGCGGTTCTCTCTGTCAAGCACTAAGTAATATTCAAGCCAAAGCAGCGACTGTAGCAAAAGCCTCCTTAATCCAGGCTCACGAATTCGTGAGCATATTCAATCACTTGTCTTCTGAACCACAAGTCGCTCAGTTATTACTGCAGCAACGGACCTTCTGAGCCCCTGCACAAGCTGCTCTTGGATCTCGGCAAGGCTGCAGCCGTGCTCTGGCTGACAAACACGTTGTGGATTACCAACAAAGGAGCTCCGATCTTTGTGTCGAATCGGGGATTTGGGCTGATGATCACAAGCTTGTCGAGGAGTTCCTTTCCGATATGGGCCTTCAAGAACGACTGGCGAAAATAACTGTTGCAGCCTATTCGACTTGAACTTAGCTAGAGGTTGAACATGGGTAGGAAATAACACGCACGGCCGGCAAAGAAGATTTGAAGAGTCTGAGGCAATCGAATGAATGCGTTGATGTAGGCTTCAATGCATGGTTTTAAGCAATACGTTGAACACATATGAGAACGGGACTGACCGCTGATCTTAGTTTCTGTAAGCTCAAGGCCACTAACATCGACAAAGGAGAAGCCCTCATGGGAGACGCTGAATCCCTGATGTTCAATATCAGCTCAATGATGACTCAAACCTGATTCAAATGGAATCGACGTACCGTCAAAAACTGGTCGAATTGCTGGAATGTGCAAATCCTTCTGGCTCTCAGTCGTTCTAGGAGCTGCCGGCGGTTATAGAATACCGTCATGAAGTGAGAAACTGCGCTGTGAGCTTCAGGGCAATTTTGCTCGAGGTAGGTCATGATGTTTCCCATCAGAGTAGCCGCTGTATCGATACCACCGTTGAAAGCACGGCTTAAATGACGAAATAACAGCATGTCGCCGTTGATCACAGTGAAGATCAACGGGAGCTACAGAAACATCAGCCAAGCCTGAAATGTTTACAGAACATTTTGACGCACCGACATTTTATATAGCCCTGTCAATGAACGGGTCAATAGTTGCTGGTTGAGGAAGTTGAGGTGCTGTTGGCATATGGCTTCGCGCTTTTGGACGCTGGAATCTCAGGTCAGCAACCAATCGTCAATGGGATGATATGGCTGAATTCACTAACCTCTCCATCTCCATCTCATTCCTGGCCTGAACCTCTTTTAGCTGCAGCGTCAGTAGAGCAACCTGCTCCTCCAAAGCATGGTTACGATTCAGAGCTTCCGAGTTGAGATCTTGCAGGTAGCGCTCTGGGCCTGTGAATAGCGGCTTATTAGGAGAAACAAGTGGGGATAGAGCAGGCTATCGCACTGTATTCAGGTCCAAAATCTGCCAGTGGTTTAGACAGCTTGAGAACTGCTGCATCTAAATCGTCGGTGGTTTGAGGCACAAAAGGTGAGAATTTAATAAGAGAAAGAGCCTCTGGCAGTTGAGTGCCATCTTTTGCAAGCATGGTTTGTGATCCAGAGGGGTTGGCCATGGAAGCCAGCCAAAAGCCTGTTGAGCGACTGAACGATTCAGATTCAAAGTGTCAATGATCACGTGCTGTTTAATCTTAACGTTCTCTGATTTCGCCGTCACGTCCATTCACGCGCATCTCTGGCCCGTCGACAATGCCTGCGGCAACTGCTGCAGCAACGCTGGATGTTATCGACTTTACTCGACGCCCCTGCTCCATTTGTGGCAAGTACTTCCATATCAAGGGATTCCATCGACATGAAGACGCATGCCGACGAAAAAAGGCAGAGGATGCTCAGAGCGCTGCCTTTGATACTGCTCTTCTTATGGCTACTCGCCCTCTGGCTGCTTTGCCTCTTGTTCCTCCTCACCAAATGGCTGGTATGCTCTGAATCATTTACGACTGTGAACACCATATTAATAATACCTGGACCGTAATAACAGAACTTGAACCTCAACTAAACATCGCTGCCGAGATGCTGCCTGAGTTGAGCAACGATGTGGGGATAATTCTCGGTCCGGAAACTCAGGCCTACAGGCCGTAGATGGCGAATGTTCGTTCAACAACTTTAAATTCAGCTCTGGCTGTTCTGAATAATCGACAACTGACCATCGATTCTCTAGCAACTCAACCATCTGATTCCGAAGAGCTACCTGGGCCTGATTTTGTGGTCGACTGCCAGCCATCACAGCCTACTCGGAGACTCGCAGGGGTGGCACTTGGTTGTGGTCAGTCTCACTTTAAATTCGATGCTCATTAACACCGCTAACCTATGGATTCCGATGCAGATGTTGATAATAGCAGCGAACATGGGTTGGAAGCCAATGATGTCAATAACGAGCTGAATCCAGGACCAGAGGTGTTGCCAAACAACGACGATCTGCCGATAGTTGGGGATGTTCGTCGGCAGTTCCACCCCCACAGCAAGCGCAGCCCCCAAAAGATGTCGCTACAGGAATACCTCTCAGAAACGGAGCCTTCTAAGCGACCTTTGCCCAACGAAACACCCTGGAGGCCAGCATTCAACAGCCGCATCGATTTCGAGGTGGCTGAGTTTGCCACCGTGAACATGCTCGACACCAACGCCATCAATACCCTAATCTCTTTAATCCGGCGAACCTCCAGCTGCATCGACACCTTCACACTTCGCAACGCCAAGCAGATGAATAAATGCTGGGAGCAAGCAAGCAAGAAATGTACCAACGTGAGGATTAGTCGTTTCGAGACTCAGAATTCTCATGTTTTGATTCAGTTTGAAGAACGCACAATCGATGTCCAGTACAAGAAGAAAGACCATGAATTCACCATGTTCGTGCGACCGTTATGGCAGTGGAGCCTCGACCTCATTCGAGACCCACGTGTTGCTTCCTTTATCTCTTGGGATGCGGAGAGGCTCTTCCGATTCGATGGCCAACAGTGGGTTCCTTTCTACACCGAACCTTGGACAGGATCTGCGTGTTGGAATATTCAGGTATATTTCTATCAATGCCACTGACCGCCAATCCTCTAACTTGATCACAACATTCCAGTCCTGTCTTCCAAATGATCCATGAGGCCAAATTATTTCCCTACATCATATACGCAGACAAATCCAAGCTGTCACCTTTTGGTACACAAAAGGGCTACCCAATCATTGCTCGCCTGGGATGTCTGCCAGTCCATATTCGTAACGGCACAAAATGGGGTGGAGGGCAGATTGTTGGATGGCTTCCTGTTGTTCGTATCTTGTTTTGACGTATGTGCAGTCCCCAAGATCTGACATCCGAGTCCATAGATTGATGAAGACTCTAAGGAGTCGGGCAAACCTCAATATACAAACTTCAAAAATGCTGTGTGGCACGAGGCCTTTTACGAGCTGATTGAATCGATCGAAGCGTACTCCAAGACTGGAATTTGGGTCCGTTGTGGGGATGGACAAAGTCGCTGGCTTCATCCGCTGGTTCTTATGCTCGTGGCCGACTATGAAGAGGCGTAAGCAGTTTGTGTTTCCATGTTCTCTCGAACTAACACCAATTAGAACCGTTATGACACTTACTCGAGGGGTGAAGGCACTATTTCCCTGTCCAATCTGTCTTGTCAAAACCAGCGACTTATCTGATTTTGAAGTGATGGCAACACTTCGGACAGCAGCCGACTCCGAGAACCTAGTAGTTGCAGCTCAGCAGCCTGGAGCTTTGCAGGGAGAGCACGAAAAAATTCTCCGAGATGTAGGACTGCGAAAGGTCAATGTAAGCCAGACATTCCTCGCCTCCGAGTCATGGAGCTAGATTCAGAATTTACTAATTTCCCGTTCAAGAATGTTTTTTGGAAGCTCGCTTACTCAGACCCTCACCACGCCTACTCTTTTGATCGGCTCCATACAAATCACAGCGGAATATGGGGCCATCACCTCTTTCCCCAGCTGAAGCTTCATCTTGAAAAAGCAGGAAGTCGGCACTTGTCAAAATTGGATGAACAGTGTGTATCCCATCCATCCCATACATTGACTGAGATAACGGATGCTATTAGGTTCGATGCGCTGCCACGCTGGCGTAATCTCAACCACTTTAGCAGTGTTTCGAACATTGCTTTCAACGATGGCGGTAAACATTGTGACATTGCGAAGATGACGCTCTACGCAGCCCATAATTTGCTACCAGGCGATCGTCGGTTCCAACTGCTGCTGCGATGTATTCGCAGCTTTGTTGTCATCGACACCTATCTTGCATTGAAAATTCAAACTGCGAACACAATCCAGCAGGGGAGAGAGGAAGTCAAGCGATTTGGAAGGCTTATTCAGGTGCGTTGCTTAGCTGTCAATCCAATATCTGAGTAACCGGATGGTAATAGGAGTATTCTCAAGCTTGTATTGGGACAGAATTCGCAAAAAACTGGAATTTCCCAAAAATTCACCTGCTTTTGCACGCATTTGACGATATTATTCGTAAAGGGGCATCACGAAACTTCAGCACAAACATTGACGAGTCTATGCATGGACCCATTCGCGACGCTTATCTCAATCTTACCAACAAAAAGAATGTGGGTCCTCAGGTGTGTGTATTTCATGATTTCAGGTCAGTGTCCAACCCGGGCGTTACAATTTGGATAGATCTTGAAGTTTGTTCATCGAAGCACTGTCGCCACTCTGATACGAGAGCAAATCGACGACATTGATGAATCTGTTGCGTTGTCAAAAAGAAAGGAAGATGTGTCGAAGGACGGCAACAACTGTAACGTTGCCGACTCAGAGCAAGTTGGCAATAGCGAAATAGGTGGTAAACGTGATAAAGTCTCATTTCTTAGCCTTGAAACCAAAATGGCTCAAGACGCTGGTTTTAAAAACTTCAGGACCCGCTTTACGTCGTTTTTCAACAATTTTCTTCTTGCTTTCGACTACGTTTCCCAAGATCACCCTCGGACAACTTTACAGCCGACAGATGAGGTATGCCGGCTTCCTTGCTCTGATTCTGGCTGAACGCTTTGAAAGATCCAACCCTATAGCTTTCTCAAGGTCCACTTCCCCTCCCTTGATAGTTGGGCGGGAGAAGCAGATTATCTTCGATGCTCCCCTCAATTCCATGGCAGACCTCGCTACGATGCCGCATTCGTGCAGACAACGGATGGCATTATCGTGGCACGCCTGATATTTATCTTTTCCTGCAAATTCAAGGACAAAATATTGCCATTTGCGCTGGTCCAACCGTACGACGCACCGATACCAAGACCGGCATCTCAAAAAGATCAAGATCTTGGCCTCATTCGCTTCAGGTCCAAGCCACGACGACAAACCGAATTCATATCTGTTCACTCGATTATCCGTGGCGTGTATTTGGCGCCAGATTTTGGGAGGAACGACGGGTTGGAGTACTTGGCAGCGGACATCGTAGACACTGATATGTTTTTTCGGCTTAAATCACTATGATAGCCCTGTAGCGCACTATGCCATCGTTGCGGTTGCTTAGCTAACGAAGAATATACATATTAATAGCTACCAGACCAGGGGTGGCCAGCGACACAACTATTTGGCCAGCCGCTAGTCAGCGACGCAAGCATCTGGCCAGCCGCTGGTCAGTGACGTGGCGTCTGATCGGTGGTTGGTCAGCCGCTGACCCGATCAGTCTCAGGCACGTGCCTGATCATGATCAAAAAAAGTTTCCGACACTTGTAGATACTTGAAAGAACTAGACATCTAACAGTGAGTTTATATTTGTGGTGTGTTGTTGTCTGATACCAGTCTTTGACCTCTGGTTAGTTTTGGGCCAGAATTCTGGTCATACTATACACCATCTTGTCCAAAAAATCCTATAGCTATCAGGCTTTGGGTGGGGCTATGCAAGATTCTCCTCAGAAACATGGGCCTAGAACAGAACAGAACCTAACAGGGTCCAGATGGTTACCAGCTGATATCCAGCAGATCTGCTTAGCTGGAAATTCCAGCTGGAGTCTATATAAGATGTCTGTCTGTATCCCAGCACTCTTACCATGCAGACTAAATAAAATTATTTTGTTTTTAAAATCTGGTAAAATATATCTAATTCTGGTAATTTCTGGATTTGCCAACAAGATAGCCACTACATACAAGAAATCAACAACAAACACAGGATCTAGACATACATACTAGATTACAGATAGATCTAGTTAGCTAAGACACAACTTTAGGGCTAGTTCAGTAGCACGGAACTTATGTTGAGCACTGGTGAGCAACTTGACAGTTGCAATCAGCAATTCAGCACCTAATGTTAGAATTTGATTCAGCTCCCATATTGAGTGATGAAAAATTGTCGTTATGCAAAACCTTTTTCTTCTTTTCCCTTCACCCTTGCTTCACTCCACTCCACTCCAGTGTAAAGTCATACATATTCTGTGTGCTCCCACTGTTACTGACCATGCCACAGCACTCCTAAGCTTGTGAAGTTCCACAAGGAAGAGTTGCGAAAGTGTTGCAGGTGCAGAGGCACTATTACTTCGCTGTCTAAAGCTGATTATAACCTTCCAGTCCCCAATGCTGTAGTAGGGTAGATCAGTAGAACATCGATATGTTACCCGAGCTACTAACTCTGTCTGCCCGACCCATTCTAATGTCAGCGCACAGGGCTGGAGTTAATACATAGCCCATATCCTTTACTCTGCTATTGTTCGACCTGTTCTAGCCTACCTCTTCAGATATTAGCAAGGCTCAGTCATCGTGTTCGTCAGCTTAGACATTGTTGCTGACTTTGAGTCGTGGTTGCCCAGAGAAACATATTGGGCAAAGGTAAGTCCAGTTGATTTATTATTGTGGTCTTGCTCAGTCTCGTTGGTGCTAGTATTGTGGTTGACAGCAAGTAAATGCCCGAAGTCATCTTGTAAATGGGTGTAACGGATGGCAAAGGTAAGCCAGTATCTTTATACTGTATCATTTCGATCAACTGTCCGGGTTACGCGTTACGCGGGCCTCCAGACAGAACCCATTTGGGGAGTGTTACGTGTTACAGCCATGTCCGGACAGTAACGGATTTGGTCAAAAGTGGGATAGAATCTCAAAAATTTTCCCAAGTCTTCAAATTGGCCATTTTAGCTTAAAATTATGTCTAAATGTCTGATTAGAGGCAAAAAAAATGCACAAAATCTTATCATTTATCACTGCGGACACGGTCAGATTTTGACGTGTTATGCGTTCCTTTGGGCTCCGGACACCTGTTTCTCCGGACAGAGTGTGTTACATGTTACACCCCCCAGACACTTGATCGAAATAGAACAGTATTCTTGGCATCTTGCTCATTGGTTGTGTTTGCCAGTTTGGGCGTTCATGACTGCCTTGCACATGGAAGGTTGCCCCCAGTTCTTCAGCGAGCATCGATTCGGGCTAGAAACTTCTACATACAACAGCTGTTTGCACTTAAGAGGAACTTGGGTTAGGGTTGGACTTGGTTATGTAAAAAGGTTGTATTTGTTAGGCTAATATTATCTATTCTCTAGGCTAAACACCTATCTCTTCGTGCTCCTCAGAACCTCTCAAAGTTGGCCCTCCCGATGAATCAAGATGAACCAAGCTTGATGCTGACAATCAGCTCCACAACCTTTAACATACAATAGAGAGTGTCTGACTGCAGGTCGGGCCCCTCCTAAGAACGCACGCCCGGAACAGAACAGACAGATTGTCAGGCTCGCAAGTATGGCAAGCGGGGTAGATTGAAACCAAAAGTGTCACAGTTAGGGTCAGGCCATTGGGCCCTATACGGCCCACCGCGCCCTCACCACCCTTAGAGCCCTAGGGCTTGACAAGCTCTCATATATTCACAAGCTCAAAGCACTGAGCAATAACACTAATATTTTAGAGAAGGGACATAATCACGGATCGCGCTTTAGTCAGCCATCAAGCCATCATGACCCGCCATCAGGAATCATGATGCGCCGCCGGACGCCCTTGATAGCGGGCCCAATCGGCCCCAGACAACCACAGGGATCAGGAGGGAGATCCTTACTGTTGCATTGCCAAACACTCCTTAGTGTCGACTTTAGCATAGCTTCTTTTCAGAGGAATAGTCCCTGGGCTCCTAGTAGAGCGACCAGGGACGACAAGAGACATCCCCTGCTCCATTATGATTGACCCTCAGCGGGCCTGATCGGCCCCTAGCGCTTACAGTATATAAAGACTAGAGTATTACTCCTGTACCTTAGGTTTAGCATTGAAGTCTCTTTCTTTAAACCCTACTCCGGCCTGGTCCCCTCTAGCGGGGTTGCTGCAACTATACCCTAGGAAAGAGGCGTCTAGACGACTTCCAATGCTCCAGGCTAGTTTGCCTCATTGACCTGAGCCCTTGGTTGGGCTGGACAGCTCCGGCTCTTGTCTCTTATGTTCACCCTTGTCCTAGCCACTTCTTCTTGCTCTCTAGCCTCAAGCTCTAGGTTCCCCTGGTAAGGGGCGATGGAAGGGTGCGGGCCCGATCGGGCCCCGCATGTCACGCGTCACACCGCGCCGTCACGCGGTGTCTAGGAGCCACAGCGATTCATTTCTCCAGGAAAGGAGATATGTCACCCCTTGGACTGGCAACCCTCTTTAGGCCCCTCAGGGGCGTCGGGCCTGCAGCCCATGTTGCAGGGCTGCTCCCCTCAACCCCCTCGACCGTCGGGCGTCACCGCCCCGCCCAAACGGCTTGTTCAACTGGCTCAGTCTATGCCTTGCTCTATACCTTGAACACCGACTCTACTAGGCAGCACTCTTTGGCTATGGACTCATTCCCTTCAGCAGGGGTAGGACACTCTAGGCGATTACTCGTATCCTGTGACACTGCCGTCACACAACGTGACAGCAGGGCGTCTCGAGTCGCCCCGAGTTGTTTCTACCCTGCTCTCTATTGCAGCAGTGGCACCATCTGCTTTGCCTGGTTGCCAACCACCCAGCTATGGGGGTTGAACCATCTTTCCCACACTTGTCAGACTGGCAGGAGAACGTTACGTGCGCCCGGGCCGGCCCCGTTCCTGAGACTTTACACCATTTACAATGCTGCTTGTGGCTGCCAATGTCAATATACTCGCATTGGGGTTGGGGGTGGGCACCACAAGAGGCGTTCCGTTTTTCAAATGGTGGACCTGGTCAGTGGGTGGAGGAGAAGTATTCGAGGCGGCAACACGCACCAATAGACCCAATTTCTCGAATGCAACAATCAAACCAACCTCTCAATATCGCAAAATATAGGTTTTTTTTCTAACTCACTCATCGTTCTGGAATCTAACGACTACTACTTAGGACATTTTAAAAGCTATTCGAAAAACATAAACGTGTTTGAGGGTTGTTGCAGGAGAGGCTTATGGTTTTGTAATCAAGTTTATAGAGTTGAAGTACAGACAGTCTTTTTCAAGTTATTTGAGTTTTCTATTCACAAAGTAGAATGTGACAGCATGAGGTTTCGTACAAAGCCATGTAGATATCAGTTCTTTTTGTATTCTCACAACACATATCTAGTGAACGAGCTTTCCAGCATATACCTAACCACTTCCCTCATTTCCACCATAAACCTCGGCCTGACTGATAGTTTTTTGGCAGCGACAATCACCCCATAGGAGTGAGGCTAGATACATTGGGCGTGGTAAGGAAGAGTTATTGTTTTCTGAAGAGAATAAGGCCTTCAGTTGGTTAGAGACAAAGAAACATGCAAGATTGGTCCAATTCGGTATATGATACTCTAGGGCTTTCTTGATTGTTTCTCCCAGCGAGGGAGGAATTATTACCGCCAGACCGAGACCAGGGATAAAAGTAATCCAAGTTGGTGGGGTGTGAATGGTCCCGGAGAATTAAAGTCATAGAATTTATGTAGGCGAAACCTGAGCAGAGGGCCGCCACGTCCGCGCTCAACTGCAAGTCCAAGTCCAGCTCTAGAGTCCGGAGGTTGCGACAGAGCTCCAGCATCTTTCCAATGTAGGGTCCTCCGCCAGCTATAACTCCAAGGTATCGAACATAACTTCCTCGTCCTGTTTCTTCCAACGAGTGAATCAATAAATCGTGGTTCCCTGATCGAAGGAAAAACTGCATGTAAAGCCATCTCACACCCACCAATGCCCAGTGTTTCTTGACCAGCATAGCATTCAGTAGCGGTTGTGAAACTCCACAATTTCATTTGGGGTACGTTCTGCAGCTGAAAGAAACACAAATCTCGTGTTAGCACCGGCAATCTGCACAGTCCGTCAGACATCGAGGCAGCCTTGTACTGCAATATACCATTGTGAGCGACATTAAACGAGGTTTGTCAAAGCACGTGACCCATATATGCCTTTTCCTTTTGAAACGCACTCTGCATTTCCTCATTTCCGGACACTTATTTACCCTACTGTGATTGGCATGTGATAAAATCAAAGAATTGACAGGTGATACTCATGTCACGGTAAATTGAGTAGTTACCACATCTTGCCTCTGCCCTTCGTCATGTCACAGACTGGCAAACG